GAACACCGGCAGAACAACAACAATGTGCTACATGTTTCTTTTCCCCTCATTTTTTCCAATTGACGGAAATCCGTGGTAGCGACGGAAAACTTTCATCCCTGAGTAGTATTATGTAGGCTACGTCATACTGCACCACAGTAATATATTTCTGATAAGTTCTTTGAGCTAACCCGAACTTATATTTTGACGGGTTGACATGAGGAACTTGTTTCTGTAGGTCTATGTAAATGATATGAAGATTAAGCAACGTCTGCTGCTGCCTTACCTTTGAGAGACAACTGATGCGTGATCACTGAAGCAGCTCCAGTTAGCAAGCGCTTTTGGAGTGAGCGTGAATTCAGCATTGATTGGTTAGACTGATGACTCCCAACAAATCAGATGAGCGGTGGGCGGAGACTGCTTTAGGCCACAGAGTGGTGAGTTCTGACAGGCTGCATCAAAATTAAGTTATTTTATCAGCGAATCGGTTTTGAAAATGACCGATACCGATAATCATAAAAATGCTTAATATCGGCCAGGCCGATAATCGGTCGACCTCTAATTTTAAGCACAAAATAAACATGAATGAACATCTCAACTGTGGAAAGACATCAATAAAACAACTCGTAAACGATGTTCAATGCAGAATGTCCGCAGCTTGTTAGTTTGTTAGAAAAATTAACTCTAGCATTTCCCTAAAAATATGCACTATATTGCCCTATATATTCATAATATTTTACGTAACTTGTTAGTGATATCTTAATTGTTTAATGCATGTTTAAATAAATGCAAATAATAGGGCTGCCTGTATAGTTTACAGCTTTAGCCGAGACAGATTTTTTATTCTTAAGATATTTTTAATTATAATTAAATTTAACTAATATAACCGTTTAATTAAAAAAAAGACCCCAACCCCATGACCCCCCATTGTACTGAAAACGTACCAAACCGTGCCTTCAAAACCCAGGTACAATATGTACCAAACCATAATTTTTGTGTACCGTTACACCCCTGACTTTAACACTGTCATACCT